TATTCGCTGAACATGACCTAAAAGAAGTAGAGTTACTTCCTGGTGAGCCACTTCTTGACTTGGAGTATGTGGACGATATTACCCTAATCTGTGATAGCTCCCAAACATGCCAAGCAGCACTGAACCGATTAATACTGGCTGTCCATCGTTTTGGGCAATGCTTTGCTTCATCGAAATGCAAAGTACTTCACCAAAATTGGCAGGGACCCACTCCTGCGCTAACGCTTTATCGTGATCAGCTAGAAGTCCTTCAGGAATTCAAGTACTTGGGCAGCTATATTAGCGTCCGTGGGATCGAAGATGAGGTTACGAACCGTATAACAAAAGCTCGAGGTGCTTTTGCCAATCTCCGCCACCTTTGGCGCAGACGCAACCTCACTCTCACCCTGAAGGGCAGAGTTTATAACGCAGCCGTTCGTTCAACCCTCTTACATGATTGTGAAACCTCGCCCATCAAGTCGACGGACATAAATAGGCTCGTCACATTCAATCATCACTGCCTTCCCAGCTTAGCTCATGTCTAGTGGGAGCACCGCCTAAGCAATGAGCGTGTTCAGCGTCGCGTATTTGGTGCAGGAAGAGCGAGTGGACCGCTCAGCACCATGATATCACGCACCAGGCTCCGATGGCCGGGCCACGTGTTGCGCATGCCAGCCCATTGACTCCTGCATCGGGGGTGCGGTTTGAAGAGGAGGAGGGAGGCCAAACGATAACTTGATCGAGAGGAATGAACACTCTCACTTCGAAACTGGCGTCACTTAATGCATCCCGACTGCCGGACTGGGATCCTAAGAACCATGAACACCTTTGGTTGGACACACTTGCTGATATGACGAAGAGCCTGCCCCAATGGCGTTTGTGTTGGGAGTTTCTTTGTCCATTCCCTCCAATCCCGATCTCATGCAAAACACATAATATAATATTTAACATTATATTTATTGTAGTGTAATTTGTTAGTCTTTTTGTATTGCGGCACATTAGCCGGGGTGTGTTTTTCACCCGCATCTAACGTGTACTGATGATGAGGATGATGATGACGATGATGATGATGATGATGATAAGGATGATAAGGATGGTGATGATAAGGATGATGATGATGATAAGAAGGGCATACTCTTTGAAGGAGTCCAGGAAAAGTAACAGGAACAGTCCAACCACTGGAGGAGAATATATGCATTTACAAATCAGAAAAGTTTCAGGAATGTGTCGACCAAGATAATTTGTGCGATAAGAAAACACCGAGAGAATTTACGGAATGTGAATGAAGGTTTCTTCGGTCACTCGGGATCAAAAAAGAAGCTAAAATATTAACAGCTCTATGCAGGACCAGCACCGACTGTGCGACCTCACCGCACTTTCTAACACATTCATTGACTTGTGGGCCACATCCCGAAACCCATCCACAAAGACGACCCGTTCTAGCCTGACCAATTCTTCCCGTCAATTTCTTCATGTCTTCGTTTCAGATCATCGATCGGCCACTTCGTTTTTTGCCCTATCAGATGCAATGACAACCTTTAATGCACTCTGGGGAAGGTGGTCAGCGAGGATCCGGAAAGCATGACCTAGCCAACATGAATTGACACTCCGTCGGGGCATCAGAGGGGTTTCTTTCTAGACGGCACCTGATAGCTTTCCGTATTACTCACTGTCCTGCCATTACGCATGCACCACTGGTAAATGTTAAATGATCTACTTCCTGATCTGTACAGTGAGTCCGGCTTTACCGTAGCATTGAACGTTCTACTTCTAATTAACAGCCTGTTAGCCCACACACTTTATAACTGATCTATGCTTTAAATCCCACATGGGCTTTTCAGGTATTTACCCAGGGAGCCCAATTGAACACTTTCAGTGGCTGCTCAGTGATAGCTAGTACCAATGTTGTGCTGAAGTAGTTCTTCAACAGAACCTTGTACCTCAACGGTGTGTGGTGGTCATGCCGAAATGTGTACGCACATTCACAAATCGCACTGTTCCTCCGGAACGCGGGAACTCCCTGTGATGAAACGCTACTCATATCATCGCATTCCTGAGGCGGAACCTTCATTCGTAAAGTCTGATGACCTTACTGATCGCCGAATGTGCAAAATCAAGAGTAGCACAGTGAAGCATTTAATCAGAAAATCATTAGAGCAATTAACGCTCAGTGCTCCAACATGTTCTTTCAAGGCAGAACCGAGACTATATACACCGCTCTATCTGATCACGTCGAACTAGTGGCTTCGAGCACACATGCCGGAATAGAAGAAAAATGCGTGGAAACTAAGAAGTGTGTATAAGTCACACACTGCTCGATACCTAACCGTAAAGCTCAAGCTCAGACCTTCACTCAATCCAAATGATCGTCGTTCATGCACTGCACTTGCATTATGTATGTTTGGTCGGCGTTAGTAGCACAACGTAATTTGATTCAAGCGACTCGAGATTCCGAGGAATTTGGTACGGTTTCGATCTCAGGCCTCGTAGCAGGCTAAACCAGAGCACACACACACACACGCTTTCCGTTAAGCCAGGTAGCTCCATTCTCTCGTGTGACCATCGTTGTTGTTGCAGGTACAAATCAGTACTGATCACCTCCGTGTCTCCATAGGCTTGGTCACTGTTTTGACCCCATATCCTCCCGGCCCTTGGCCGAAACGATCACACACCTGTCTTGTAATCCAGAAATCACGTGTTTGCGCCGCACATAGTACCGAGGTATTGCTGATACCCCACAGCCCCGCTTACACCATATCCCATCGGACGTCTGGCAAGCATAGCTAGGAAAACTCGGTGTAATATTTCTCCGGTTGGACGTTCCAGGTACTTACGCTTCACTAATACGTGTCCAACTAGTACGGCAGGTAATAATGGACCCTTGGGTATGAAACAGAAAATAAGTGGCTTGTAGGTGGTTCGATGTCCATCTAGTAAAAATGATCGATCCAATAAGGGCACCGAAGGGAAAGTGGAAGAGGGCAGGACAAATTGCGTCATGAAGCTAGTAGTAAGAGGAAATGTTATGAGACTGCCCGTGGACCGACTGTTTCATCTTGACAGAATTCGAATCAATGCTTTCCTTGTGAGCTAATCGCTTGAGCCGTACGTTCGACCTTACTGTACGGTTGTGAAACCTGGCCGCTTAAAGCAGCGGATCTGAAGAGGCTAGTTACGTTCGACCACCGGTGCCTTCGTAATTTAGCTCACATCTGGTGGGAACACCGCGTGAGCAACGAGCGTGTTCGACGCCTTGTTTACGGCACAGGAAAGGAAATGGTACCGTTCAGCACCGTTATTTCAAGCACCTTGACCCGATGGCTCGGCCACGTGTTGCGCATGCCAGCCCACCGACTCCTGCGACGTGCGTTGTTTGCGCGCCGGGGGTGTGGATGGAAGAAGAAGAGGGGTGGCCAAGCGATGACTTGGTCCAGAGGAATGAAGGCCCTCACTTCGGAGCTTGCTTCGATTGGAGCGTATCGGCTCCCTGGTTGGGGTCCGAAAGACGATGAACACGTTTGGTTGGACACACTTGCTGATATGGCTAGGAGCCGACCTCGGTGGCGTTCATGCTGTGAGTTTCTTTGTCACATCCCTCTTAGCCTCCCTCTTCAACCACGATCTCATTATTTAGCCCTATATAATTTTGCATAGCAATTTTTTTTTGATGCGCAGTAGCCGGCTGGTAGCTTACCGGAACGATGCCCATCCGTTACCGGTAGCTCAGCCGGTTTGCACCAGTTGCATTTTTTCTCCTTTTTCCTGTGTATTGCGGCACAGTAGCTGAGATGTTCCCCACCTCTAGCTAACGTGTATGATGATGATGATGATGCTGTTCTTGGAAATTTGGGGGTGGCAAATTTTCGATGCATCTTGAGTAGACTCAGGTCAAGTCAGGAATGCGCTTTAATCCACCCGTGACGGATGATTTTTCAGCCGTCATCATATAACATGCGCACTTGTAGTTATATGCGCCCGTCGTATCTCTTAACCAGTCTTCTTGATAGCCACATCTCCCCTGTACTTTAATCGTCCTTCGCTTTTCAGCATTATGATTCCGGTTAGATAAATCTATGTGCTAATACCTATGCTCCCACTGCTTGGCTGTTTCCAAGCCCTCACGAGAAACGGAACGTGTTCGTCTGTCTGTGGCTACCTGGCGTTATCAATGCTTTGCTCTAAAGACGACGACTGCGTCTTCATTCGATGTGTACGAAGCATACCGATCACTTTCAGCTTTCTTTGCAAAGCACTCACTGTGTATGTGTGTGGGTATGTGTGAGTTGTTGCTGGGTATACCCTGACGTTTGAGATACCGGCTAATCGAATGGAGCTCGTTGCTTTCCTTCAGCGGCTACCACCTTAGGTCTCCTTCTTTTCTTCTACCTCCGACTGATTCTCCCATTATTTTTGAATGCAGTTATTGACTTATAGCATGCTGATGGCTCTACATCCGCAAAGTCGTCTTCGGTGATTACGTAGATATTACTTAAATCATCTCACTATAGGAGATGATGTTGCGCAATCAAGTCACCATGTTATGCGGTACTTTTACTGTGTTGTTTCTTCTCAGCATCGATGTTTCAATTGCCATCGTGTGCCCTCGGTGCTTTTCGTTACTTTTCCGCGCATGCTAGACTCAGTCTTTTTAGTCTTCCCTTTTTAACGGTCATCTGGATGCCATATCTCATCGCCTAATGCGCGGTTTGGACCTGCTGCTTCTGGCGTCCTTGTCGCTGCCCTTTTCAGCGTTCCATTATCGTGTCTACTTGCTGATAACTTACGCAGAGTGTAACATCTTTCAACCGACACTACTTTTCTAGGTGTTTATGACCCAAACCAATTACAGCCTATGGAACTGTTGCCCAACATTTTGCGCGGTCCGTTTAATATGCACAGTGGTTTTTCACGACGACTTCTGTACTGCCTTCGCTCATCACTCAAACACTTGTGAAAATTATGCTAGACTTTGTCATGTGCCTTCACCGTCGAATGTTTGCTTCCTTCGTCCCTCTCCTCAGAATGGCAATGCCGCAGATGTCCATGGAGGTAGCTTTGGTCTCCAACGCGCTGCTCCTCCAGTGTCTGATCGAGGATCCTCCGATTTTGCCCCCTTCGGTCACTAAAACCTTGTGTCCTAGTCACCCGGTGGCGTCTAACCGATACTCATTTCCCGCCCCACCCTCTCAAGTACGCTCCATGCATACCATCCTGTGTTCTGCACAGCTATTGCTTCCCAGTTAATTTGTTCACCCGTTGCATTTTCTCCTCCTCGCCGATTACCAGATTGCTCGCTCCTATATGAGCATCCGTTTTTAATCTTCCATCTGCAACAGCAATGGCATCTGTGTTTTGTGATTTATTCTCTTTCTGACATCAAATCTCTTTTTTTCTTTTCCTTTATCGTCATCAGTGTTCTGCGCTCACGCGCACGCACACATACTCGTCATATTGCAACGGTGCCAACAACCTACTGCAACACTGCCATCATCTCTTTCCCCAACTTTTTCGTGCACATTCCAGTGTTGAATATGGTTGTTCGTCACCGTTTTGATTCGCCGACGTTGGCGCTCATGTTCCACTATGCACTCAGATCACCCGGCCACCCCCGCATGTTGCTTTATTTATGGGGTCCATTTATGCGCGGCCAATATGGCTGTGTTCTTCTCTACACCTTCACTTAACTCACTGCTAGTCGTCTAGGTCTACTGCTGGTCGCCTGCCCATTCATTGCGGTGTACCATCTCAGTTATATACCATCAACCGACTTATAAGTGGATTTTTTCCTTTGCAATGCCTCCACTTGTGTTTCTTTCTCTGTGTGGTAGTGTGTCTTCTCTATGGCTGTGTAACGTCCACAACAGCTCATGGAACAGGCGTGTCTGGGGATTGCCGAACCAGATTGGTACACTGCGGCATCAGCAACAGCAGCACGTCAGCACATCGTGCCGACGCTCAGTTGGACTATGCCTCGCATCATCGAGGAATAAACCGTTTGTTTATACGACTAACACCAGTCTCTCGAGTTCCGTGTAGGGGTGGGCGTCCTCGCGGTATACTCAGCCCGCGCGCGACTAGTGGTGGTCACGCGGCAGTGAAGCGCCGTTACGGCGTACATCTGACACATTATTTATTTTATTTAGTCGCTCGAGTGCTGGGTATACCACGAGGTGACTTCGCACCAATCCAGTCCACATGCAACCGAAACTGATTACGTGACTGTGTAGCATCGGAACAAAATCCCAGAGCATTACTGGTTTTTCTTCTTGGGAATATGTATAACCTCCGACAGTCTGGAACTGGAAGGTAAGGTTTGTAGCTCAGGTTCTTTTGGTGGCGAGACTTCTCCACGATACTTACTATGTACTACTCAACAACGCACTGTTTGTGTGACCTCGATTGGTGATGAAACGTCTCTAACAAAAGTGCCAAACTCAGTGAACAGTCCGATCATTAGCCTGGAACTATCCTACCTTCTGGGAATGAGCATAGCAACTGCGATGCCTTCGGAAGCAAACGATGTAACGCAATCTGCACTCGATTGGTGCTCGCTAGCAATTTATCTTTCGATTTTTTGAGGTTCATCTCTGTTTGGGTACCCGGTGGATGTATGTACTTATAGAGTAAGGGGGTATTTTGACTTCATGCGGTCAGACCCTGTAGAAAGCTTTAGCGTTAGTTTATTAAGTATTTGATCGAAAACCAGTTACAATCTTATCGCATCATGAAGACTAGTGCAACTCTAACCGTCCTGGTTCAATGGCGATCTACAAGGTAGCTGGAGAACTTCACGAAACGTCCGGACTCTTAGTTTTCTCTTTTATGAAACCTCACCCTTTTTGGCTCTGTTAGACAAGTCAAGTCATTGTAAGCTGTATTGACCCGGATGGGTTCATCGTTTCACATTATCCACTGCGGATAGACAGAAAGGAGGGTTCGAAGAAAGTAGAAGCCACGATTAAAATTCATTAACATTAATAGTGCGGAATTTCGCAAATGGATAAACACAGTAGTGGAAATTCGCATTGTTGTCACTCGAGTAAAACGACCCTGCTTTCCTGCTCAACGAGCACACTCTACCGAACAGAATTCCACTGGATTGAAATGCATTGTCCAAACACAACATCTTGCGAATCGTGCGCAGTATTTGAAACTTTCTATCAAAACTATGGACATAGTCGGAGTGCCTCAGTGGCACTGGGAATAGTGTGACCCCAAAGAATTTGTCAGCATATTCTTACACAACTAATACGTTCAAAGTGGGTAGCGTAAAACGCAACGGTCGATTGCTGCGATCTGCCTGACGTGGGAGGCTCTCCCTTGGGTTTACTGCATTCGTTGTGTCCCCTCTGAAGTGTCTACTTCGTTTCCCTCCATCGTTATTCCCAAACTGATCACCTGCTCCTACAATTGACGTACAAACGGTGCCGTACGGATGTTGCCTCGCACTGCTTGCTTTTGTGTTTCACCCGATTCAGTTGTATATTGCGCCCATTCGACAAGCTACCGGTTCGTGCAATTACCGAACAACCATTCGAATGAGTTGACGAGTTCACTTGTCCAGGTAACTTGAACACTTTTGGCGGTCAGATCAACAGAGTTACTGCACGTGTCGGCAAGGCCCACCGTGGCTTTCCATGGTCTCAGCCATCGATGGAGACGACTTGATGCTTATGTCTAGACAACGGTAAGCCCTACCGGTGCTACTCTATGGAACTCATTGAAAAGATTTGTCGTACCTGACCGCCGTTGTTCTCGTTGCACCGCTACTTATTGCGAGTGGGTCAGCTTACTTTCTTACTTTACTGCGGCTAGCTCCTGCAACAGGATGAGCCTGCTTCATGAATGTCGCGAATTGCAGCTGCTCAAGCGCGGCGGTCGGCGACAAGCTTTACGCAGATACTGATCCAGTGATTCCTCCAGTGAAGAACACTATTTACGACATCGAGTCCCAGAAGCTCGACATCCGTTTTCACTGCAGTGAGCCACGTTTTCAATTGTCCATCACGGCGACGACACCAACCCTAACAAAGCGAGGATGAAACCACGGCCCTAATGCAGTCAGTGTCTGGTCTGCGGTGTTGGATGAGTGTTGTGAGCTTCGGAAGACCGTAACAGCGCTTATGGATTTCGTCATGGGTGATACGCTTATGCCACTACGTTTCCACGAAAAGCCTTAGCGCCAATGGTCAAAGAGTTCCAGTTTCCGGGTGTCTTCGAATCCAAGCGGCTAAGTTTCGCAGCCACAGAGTAAAAAGGCACGAATGGTTGTTGAAAATACTCAAATCTTTGTTCTCAGACTAATTTCCGTCCTTCGCCACGATGTGTTTCCCAGTTGTAAGAAACCTGTTCTAACGCTGTCCATACGATTTTGGATGTAGCCTTACCAATGGGAAACATAGTAGATCCAGGATACTTGAATAGGAAGAGATTCGATGAGTTGTCTATGTAAGGAGAGCGATGGGCGGACTGCGTGGCTAACGATGTGAAGTATTTCGTTTTGCTGATGCTACTTTCTAGGCTGATCATAGTGACTGATTGGTCGACCCGATTAAGCAGTGAGTGTAGCGATATAGCATCTTACCCAAAGGTAGCGATATCGTCAGCAAATTCTAGATCTGACAGCCAGAAGTCAGAGCTAATTCGAACACCACAATAACCCTCAAGGGCATGATGCGTAACCCAGTCGACTGCGAACTTGAACAGCACTGGAGAAACTGGGCAACCCTGCCGAACTCTCGTATTGATGTCGAATTGCACTGTTTCTTTTCCATAAACTTAAATTTTGGCTTTCGTGTAACAATCGTATGACCTCATCAAGTTAACGAGTTTAACCGTCACACCATTGACAAGTAGGATTTTCCAGAGTGCCTCGCGGTCAATTGCGTCAAAAGCAGCTCGAAAATCAACGAATCACACAAACGTACGCTGCTGGTACGGCTAGCGGTGTACGAGTACTCAACGTGGAGTGAAGATTTGCTAAGTGCAGCCTCTGCCTGGACGAAGGCCACCTTGGTTATGGGGAGTTCGCAAAGCGAGAAAGTAAGATTCGAACGAAGGTTTTGCCAGCCACATCGATTAGGCTAATCTCGCGATAATTACTACGCACAGTTCGGTCACCTTTCTTAGGAAATGGTAGTAGTACTGAAATACTCCACGAGGAAGGACAGATTTCGGTCTCCTATATCGAGCAGAAGAGCTCGTACAAATGGTCAAGGAGAGCTAGTAGATTTTTGCTGGAATCTCGTTCGTTCCCGGGACTTCCTTCGGCTTCAGGTGACGAACGATATCTGCAATTTCTTGGGATATGACGGTGGACAATCCGCATCATATCCTAGCTGTGTTAGTGCTGAAATGGGTGCGGTGGTGTGTAGTGGGCGGTTTAGGAGTTTACTAAAATACTCTACCCATCTGGAAAGTTTTCCTTCCGTATCGGGGATGATTTGGCCTTCTGAATTGCGCAATATCGGCTGTGATGAATGGCACTTGCCGAAAGCTAAACGGATGAGACGAAAGAGATGACCGAAATTGCCAGAATTAGATGCAGCTTCCATGTTCCCTGCGATATCAGATCAGTAGCGATTGCGATCATTCAGTGCTAAGCGGTTGGCTTCATGTCTCAAGCCACGGTAGTCTGGGGAATTCGTGACACGTGCTTCTCTCGCTTTAGCGGACAAGCGGATAGTATCAGTGATCCAGTTCTTCACAGGCTTAGAGGTAGAGCCCAGAGTAGATAAGGCGACGCGATAAACTGACGATTTTAGCCTAGACCAGCGAGCGTCTACAGGTTCATCTTCTGCAATTAGAGGGTCACCTGGTGATTTTTGACTCTGTTCACCGATTAGCGTTTCGTAACGGATCCTCACTGAAACTCAACTCACCAGCTATGGTTACCTCTGATTTCTGATATACCCGCCGACCGGATTTCTCAACTTGCGTTCTCCCTCATGATGTGAATCCACCCTTGCTGTGCTGGGGCAATCCAACCTTCATCTTGAATATAGGGCTCTACTAAGGGTTTCGGCAATAGCAATGCACGCGATAGATACAGGTTATGAGGTCGATTTGGATAACGTCGAAATCGTTAGAAAGGGGTTATGATCAACGCCCCAAAGGCTGACTGCTGAAGCGGTTGGCAGTAGCAACGTGAACAGAATGGACAGGGCAGAACTTTCGAACGGGTGACGAGCTGTCTTATTAACCCGACCAGTTTGAGGAGCGCCGGCGGACAGATCCAGGACAAATTAAACACCACATCATCCGCGCACCTATCACTAGCAGGACTTACTTGTGTGACTTTCTGACGCATACCACTTTTGATCGTCCCATCCACTAGTTGGAATGATGCGTTGACCTGTAACGCGATTGACCTGCCTTCATCCCATTCGTCGCGATTATCATCTCTAATCGCCATAAGTGCTATACCAATTCTCGACTGGTTCACTCGGCCTGACGAAGCTTTTGTGTCAAAAGCGAAACGTTACCCACAAACTATACCAACTGGTTGTTTTCAATCCCCTCTGAAATCATGAGTTCTCGATCGGTTTCAAGTATTTTTCCAACATGTTGACAATCTTCATCTTGTTTGCTCAACTATGCCTTCAGTACCGATCTTGTGTACGCATGAGTGAAGCCCCCACCAATTCTGAAACCGCAAGATAGCACACCCAACTGTGTACGCCGCGAATCTCAGACGTGGCTTGCGAGACAGTTGCGGTCACCTTAACCTTTGAAATGCTCTGGAATAAACACGTGTTGTTTATATCTGTACCTGTCAGCGAGGTGCAGTTACGCGCTCCAACGGCGCTATTTGTTTCACTGAAGATGATACCGGCTCGTTGAAATTCACCACCTGCTGGATTTATCGGATTTTGGCTTTGGTTGTCGCATCCGTAACGTCATCGTATGGCATGTGTGATTAACGCAGAGGCGCACTCACACTCCTTTTGTCAACATTTGGGATGGAATCGGAGTTGATGGAACTGCAGAAATTACTGTTGTTTCTATT